CCCTGGTTTTCAATGGTTCTCTAACTGATATCAATCCATGATCAACTCGTAAAAATTAAAAGAAATGTGATTTAGAATGCACCTACAAATTAATCTACAACACATTTGAAGGCACATTAAACTCACCACTAGAGAAGCAGAATTAGACAACAAAATTTCATTCTTAGATGTCTTAATCACGAGAACTAACACAGGAAATTTAGAAACACAAGCTTATATAAAATCAACGCACGGATCAAATACTTAACTACAATAATAATAATAACCCAGTAACTCACTAAAGAAACTGTGTGCATACATTGTTTAAAAGAGTCTAAACACATTGTAGTACTCCGATGCTGAAGAGAATGGAAGAGAAATACCTACTAACTGTCTTCAAAAAGAATGAATACACACACAATTTCATCAAATGTGTTCAATGTCAAGTCATAATACCAACAAGAAAACATCCTCAAAGAACACAAGAAAATTCACTCTACCATATACAAAAAATATCTCTGAAATAACGACTGGATTACTGAGATGGTTTGAAACAGCACAGAAACCAACATTAGATATTGTGCAAATCAAAAAGATCCAACAGAAAAAGAAGATAAAATTAATACCATTTACAAAATAAGTTGTATGAATTGCAATAAACATTACATCGGTCAAAATGGGCGTCCCCTTCGTGTTCGAATCCAAGAACATAAATCAACTGTGAAAAAACACGATATGTATTCTTTCATCACATCAATGCATGTAGATAATTACGGACGCGAATTTGATTGGGATAATGTAGAAATTTTAAATAGAGGAAACATCAAAAATGCAGTCAGGGAATTTCTAGAACCCTGGTACTCAGAGGAATCAGCCAGCTGTTAACAATACTTGACCTATTTGTATATGACTGGTCATTAGTATGTACTCTTGTTCTGTATAACTGAGTAATTGTCATGCATTTAATTTTATTATTGTGAACCATGCTAGTTGTAAAGCGATTGTAGAGAAAAACTACGAAATGATATCATCTCGCGAAATTTGTCTTCTAAATGCCTTATTCAAATTATTATAGACCAAATTTACCAACTAATAAATAGTACAAATAAAATTTGAGCAAAGAATATCCTTTTCGGTAATTTCCTCTTCTGGCTCGGCAATTATATATATGTATATATATGTTTATATACATAGAATATTCTAGAATAATCGTCATTAACAATATTGGTGTTTTCAAATATCAGCGATTTGTCAAGTAGGATCAATGAAATTACAGCTCAAGAAAGATGCATAAGTTATAATAAGCATAAAAATGTAATAGTAAGTGGAATATCAAACAAAACCAGGAAAATTGCTACAACGAATTGAGGATCATTAAAACCTTGATGGCCGAGGTAAGGAAAGTGTCTGAACTAACCAACTGCTTCTTTTGGACCAGTTTCTGTACATGTGTATTCACTGAGGCGACTGAAGATTAGTCTTCCTGTATGATCCTTTTATCGCCCTTATCCTATTTTGCAGTCTTCCCAAAAGCCCTCGGTTGAATTACTACTGTTTCCAGTATGAGGATCGACGACTACTTACTAGGAAAATATGGATAATAAGAACAATTAAAATAAATAATACCAACCCTAAATCTATCCCTAGTCGTAACCCTAACCTTATTCCTAACCCTAATTACAAACCTTTTCCTAACCGTAGTCCTAATTATAATCCTAACGAGCTAATTAACACTGGTACTTAAAAACGTGATCTGGGTGAAAATTGCTCCTTAACTGGAGAATAGCGTTCATATTTGCGCTATGATAATGACACGCGTCGTCATCCAACGACTAGCATGCGTCCGAGGTCTTTTGAGCGATCTCACCCTCGGGAAGCTATTGTTTAACTTCACCGTTTTGCTAACTCCGATGAATCTATTCACATACCCAATCTAAGATGCGTTCGGCAAATCAAGAACATAAAGCCGCCGGTAACTTCAGTTGTTTGTAGAAGGAATCACATGCGTGATAGGGTGGTTTCTATAGTTTAACTTCGCCTCCAATATGTTAAACGGAATTCTTTTCTTGTGACAACACCAAAAATAACCTTTTATCCCCTAAAAATAATGAATTACATGTAGATAAGCGAGCATTCTCTTCAGATATCAGAGTTAGGACTAGAGTTAGACTTTAAACCAATATGTTTATAAGATTCAATTTATGTTAGAGTTGAAATGTCAGACTGAAACACGCAAAGATTATTTACTAATCATTAAAAAAATCAATATACTTAATAAGTACAGCGATAAATAGCGTTAACAGAAAGAATAGTATATTACATGTGAAAGTTCTCCCGTTTAACGAAAAAGAACTGGCAGGAATACGTTCGAACAATAGGAAGAATATAAATGATCTGCACTTCACGAGCGATTTGTGTTTGATTTCATAAAAAAAACTCAAAGATATACCGGCGAAAGTCAACAAGTTGGCAGAAGAAGTGAGGTTAGGGAAGATGGAGGTGATGAAGATAACCAGCCAACTAACACCAACAAGCACCAATCACCAACGGTGGGACAAATCTAGGCGAGATCACTTCCTTCACCTACCTACACAGCATCATTTCAACTACAGGCAGAACTGATGAGGTGATGTCAAAACCAATAAGAATCAAAAAAGACAAATCATCGCGCTGAAATCAGTGGGGAACTTCAATGCATTAAGCCTAACAAATAAGATTCGTATCTTTAACATATATGTCAATTCAGTCAGTGTGCATATATACGGTTCAGGGATGCACTGAGACAGATGAGACGCACTGAGAAGACAGATGAGTAACATCAGACGCCGAGTATGCCTTGAGTGGAGCCTATGTAAACAGTAAACGATGAATTGGTCATGATTCGATATCATGTGATCAGGAAATGAAAGCGTATAAGCTGTCATTGAGCTATCTGAAAGAATGTCAGAAACAGTGCAGGCGAGTGATCGAAGTGCTATGTTCCACTAAGCATCCAAGCGGCAGTTAAAAATGGCAAATAAGTCTAATGCGAGTATTAATCTACACCTAATGAGGATGGAACTTCACAGTGAATTCATGAGATTGGGAAATAAAAGCGAGAGATCCCTTCTGATTTCAGGATTCTGTAGGCGCAACTAGTTAAGTTTAGTGGAATACGACTCGAACTTCAAAGTGAGACCGAATACTGTGACTTCTTGTTAGAAAGTTGCTTCCATGATTATGGAAAATAAGCCTAATTTTTATTGCCACTGAATTGCAACATTACTACACGTATGTGGTAATTATGTCTTAAAATATGCATAAACAGTTTATAAGTACTCACCTGTAAATAGAACATCGCTTCCTTCAACCTGAGCATTTTCTGTATTTAACTCAACAATTTTAATCCCAAGTTCTTTTTTCAGTGTGTGACGTATTAAATTAACTTCTCCTTGTCTATGACAACGATATGGATTACACATCAGTGCTGTTCCATTGATTATAACAGCTGTATCATCAACTTTTACACATTCAGGATGGCGTTCATCTGCTTCCATTTCCAAGACATCAACACCATTTTGCCTTAATGCTTCGACGAATTTCTCTCTCTCATTACAAGCTTCTTCGTAGTTGAACTTTCCACCCTTTTTCAGTGTAACGTTTGAGTCTGGTGACATTAGAAACTCTTCAAATGATCTTGGAATTTGACTGACAACTGCATATTCATATTGAAAAGCCATTACAACTCAACGAACTGAGAGTGTACCGACACCTACAAATCCAGCGCTAACATGCACTTACATGTCCAATATGCCGATAGCATTTCCGGATAGTTTCACATGTTATTTGAGGGTACATTGGCTATTCATTCTCGTTTCAAAATAAAAGATGTGATTTCGTTCTGAACTCATTGTTAGGCCTTAAGCATCTTGTTCTGAAAGAGGATGACAGATTTCAAGTCAGCATTAATTGTCTCTTGGTAAATATCTTAGAACTCTGTGAGAAAACCAGTACTGCACGAAGATGTGTTTTCTCCTTCGTTTTTGAACTCTCTTGCTATGCCCTATGAGATTTTTTGACCTGATGGAAGAAAAAAGAGAAGAAAGCTCATATCAATAGTCATTTTGTAATATTTTGAACACTATGCTGTCTCCTCTCTCCTTATAGTATGATTCAAGGAGATATACACTGTTAAGCCCCTCCTAATATAACAAATGTTCATACAAAGAACCCTTCCTAGCATTTATTGGTCCTGCTTAGGACAAAGGCTGGCCGCATGGATGCAGTTTTATAATTTCGACCTCACCCAAAATGTATTTAAAGTATGTGTGATTTCACTAGTGCTTCTAATAAAGCACCTACGAACCGCGTATAGTGCTCACAGTGGAGATTTTGCCGTAGTCTTCAAATTATTACTGAATATGACACGTTAATCGATGGACATCTGAAATGATGGAAGTGGAATTCCTTATGTGTCATGAGTACTGACCGATCTAGAAGCGTGTTCAGATCGCCCTGCAAAGTGAGCGCGTCGTCATCGTCATTTAGCGGTCTACAAATGTTTAGGTCATATCTAGAGAGAACCCCAAAGGATTCTGTGAGCTTAGGTTAATGATTTATGCACAAGATAAGTGATGGTAGGCTGACTGCGGTGCATCGTAGCACTTCACTACGTACCTTAGGTCAACAAGGAAGTTTCGAACTGATCCTGACTCTATCTATTGCCCACGATGAATTCATTGACCTAGTTGAGCAGGCCACCCTTAATTGTAAGACCTTCTAGTTTCATAAACAGTCTTTTGTGAAGCAATTCAGCGAGAATTTTGCTCAAATCTATGGAAACGACGTCAGTGGACTTCCTGTTGTCACTGGACTTGACCCAACATTCTGTTACCGCAAGCAGGTTTTCAGGCATTAGAGCACTCCCCGGAAATGGTGCTGTGAGCTCAATGATGTGGTGTTATTTTCCATATGTACCATGAAAGCTTTCAAAATTATTCTTTTTGGTATTTTGATCAAGGTGTCCATAAAATTAATAGGTCTGTAGTTTGAAGAACAGTTACCAGATCCACTCGTGTCAATTTCCAACTTGATCCGTGATTGATGGATTCCTGCAGTACCTTTGTTTCCGCCTACATTTTAGAACTTTCTGGGCTGGAGAATCACGAAAGTAACATACTCGTCCCATCATTAGTGCTCTCGACTAGGCGGTCCTTGAAGTTTCTCTTTTTGACCATTCGTGAGGGACTACAGGATGAAGACTTCGGTTACCCGGTCCTAAGAATGCTTGTGTCAGCTGCATGCTGCTTCCACGTGAAATTCCAGATATGTGTGCTATTCTTGTGATTAGGTCACAAAAATAATTTCATTTGTGTCAACTTTAAACATGTTTGGTGGGGCTGGATACTGTGGCATGAACACAGGGCGACGACTTCTCGCTAAGTGTGGCAAATGTTGCACGACTTTCACATCCTCACTACGAAAGAAACCCGGGTCCCAAATGAAAATAGCTAACAGTTATGAAGCTCAGCTCCCATGACATCGTGGACAAGAGCCAAGGAAATGGAAAATTTTACCAGACTTTCGTCAACTGGAGTCGCCTGGGGATGGTGTTGCAAGGTTTATCCAGTCTTCCGAAATCACTGACTATAAGATTGACATATGAATGTCGCTGGGCCTGCGATTTGTTGTCACATGGTTATTATCGTGGCATTTGTGTTTTAGTGCATTTGTCTGCACGGTAAAATTTCTCTTGAGATACTTCCGTACACAAAAGACTCATTGTCACTCAAGACCACGCACTTCTTGAGAAAGACTGCTATTTTATTATTATTTGACCGGCCCTGAACACTATGAACTTTTAAAGGCCAACTCTGCTGTCGTTCACTCCGGAAATTAGCCATGATATTGCAACGGTGATGACATCTGAGTTTTAGTGAAATGCGCACTACACAGCTAGATTCATTTATTGTACGCCCTACGGGCATGGGTGCAGCTAACTTTGGTGCCTCCCCGTTCCACTCCTAACCTCTAATACCTGAAAACACTTAAGAATGAGGATTTTCTCGCCATGACACCCGTCGCGCAACCCTGTTGCCCAGTTGAGCACTGTGATGACCCCGTGTATACGATTTTCAGTCACGCCACAGTGGTCTTTGCGCAATCAGTATGCAGGGTCTTTGTAGCAACGCCTGTATGCTGCAGGGGCTAGGCTGGAGCATATGCTTTTGTGCAGTTGTCACACTAGTTATCATCCTCTACTGGACAAGAACACATCAGCTTCCCACAACGATTCTTTGATTTCCGCGTATTTTTGGAGCGTAAATGAGTCATTAAAATGTGACAATTATGATCTGAAGATGCAAAAATTGGAGTATCAGTGTTGCAAACACCAGATTTTTATGAATTTACAGATACTAGAATGCCGAAATGTCAAATAAGCGGGCCTTCTAAGTGGTCTCAGAAAATTTAACTTCAATAATAATGACTAAAGTCAAAGTTTACCGGGGTCTAAATAAGGGTTCGAGACGATCAAAGAAGTTCACCAAATCAGTCGAACCCTGGGAGATAAGTTTGTTTATCCTCACAGGATTGAAGCACTGGATAGATTACTAGATTTTCGAGGGACATGAACCCGCCAGCTTCGTTGTGGTGTGATTACCTACTTATACACTTCCTCCATGTACACCCTTCAGTAGCAGTAAGTGTTCTATTCTCCCTCAGCTAGTTAGGGCATCTTTAAGAACAACTTGGCCACCAGGTAGTATGGTTACAGCTCGTATCTAGTAGGATATATGGCCAAATATCAATCGTGAGCATTATTCTTGACGGAGACCAACTGGAAGTTAGGTGGAAGTCGTCAAGGCCGCCCAACCAACTGATTTCCCGGAAAACAACTACCTTCCAAAGTCCGCGCCGGTTTGTATTGACCCCCACTCAAATGGTCGTCTATAATTTAGGCACATAAGGTTAAATTAACCGACCAGGCATTTCGCAAGGCGTTAGGCTCTAATATTGGATCCAGCCTCAGTTGTCAATGAGGGAATTACGGCAAACTTAATTGTTTGAACCACCCCTTCTATCATTGAGCGAAATGTGTTTCTACCATTCTGGTGTAAGTTTCCCAACTTCATGTAACATTTGTGTTCCATATTCGGGAACGCCACTGTGAGTGTTGTTGAAAACTGAGTGAACGTTGAGTGAACTTATTTATTCGAACCGCTTTCGTGTTCGTTTGAGGGCGACAATCCCCACTGTGCCGTTTGCTCGTCGACAGAAGACTGGGTCAATGAGATCAGAAGTATCAACGTCTATTATCCCAACGTTATTTGTAGGCTTTTTAAGTGTGTTGATGATAACCAAATGTAAATCACATGATCAAGCTGCTTTGTAATTGATTTCCTGTATTCAACTACATTTGGTTGATCAATAAATCTTCGACTTGCAATGCTATTTCTATTACCTTCTTGCGTTGAAATCGAGATGGTTATAATATACGTAAACTAGTATTCTCAGTTCCGGAGAGTTTTCTTCTGGCTACATCAAATTTTCCCGATACCATTGTTGATAGTGGCATGTATTCACGCTCATTAGGATCTCATGAAGGAGAAAAGTTTAGACAGCATAATTCTTCTTAATTCATGAAATACTGAGTAAGTCTGTCAGGACGGTCCTGAGAATCTCCAAACACTTGAACTTCATACTTTCCTCCGGATTTGATTATCAACACCATTCAAATTTGGTTAAAAGTCAGCAAGATTGGCAGCCAAGAAGTTATAATCTTCTAGGTACCCAGTTAATTACGCTGTTTAACCGATTTCGAGCTAGCTTCCTTTTGGCTTCAAAGTTAATTTTTTTGGATTACAGCTTAATTCAACACCGCATTTTTGGTACAAGTATGGAATTTTCAGCATGGATATCGGTAGCATAAATTTTGCAGGCCGACTATAGATATCGGGTGTGCGTCGGCAGGGGATCGAACCCCGGAACATGTGCATGGTCGGCGAGAGTCCTAACCACTCGGGAAATGTCTTAACCCTCTCTGGCCGTAATTGATAGAATCGTTTAGCCAGTTAGCACAAATAATCCATGAAGTCATTTACAGATTCTACTAGGAACTGTGCATATTGTTTAGTTCGCTAATGTAGTTTGGCTCGACAACAAAGGTCTGAGATATATTCCCGTGCAAAATCTAACCGTCAGAAATACCACAAGGGTAGGATGTTTCCCTGTATTGCTACAAAGCGATTCAGATGGGACGATCAGCTGGTTGTCAGATACTGAAAGTTGAAAACTTCGAGAAGCTTATCTGCTCCTCACGACTCAGTGCCGCGTGAGTGTCGAAACTTCACAACTGGTGATACGCCTACTTGATTTTCCCCCAACTACTTCGTTAAGAGACCATTTTTGTTCCAGGCTCATCATTTACTGTGCTCACGTATTTAGAAAACACCTTTTGAGTTCTGTCCACTGGATTTTCTTCCGTGTGGACTCATATTTATTGTCACCAACTTGTTAACAAGTGACCCGTTTATTGCACTGTTGTCCAGTTCACAACTAACCTAAAAGGCATTTATGGTTGGATTTATCCCACCTAATGTTGATTGTGGTAACTTAAGATGGGCTTGCATACATATCTTAGTATTTTATGGAATTTTTGTCACTGTCTTTTAAGGCAACTTACCTGTGTAATCCATGGGAGATATTTAACATAGTAACACATCCATGTCGTCCGGAGTTC